ATTTAATTTTCCAATTTTAGATTTATCTATATTGATTGGAGGTATAGCACCAGTGCTTTGGTGCCATGCCCTATACAAAATGAATGTTGCATTTGAGTGCTTTTCTGACATGGCTACAATAGTCATTATCCAATCACAGCGCTTCTTCTACAATACTTACATCATAGCGCCACAAATGAGCCTTATTGCACTTATCCTATCGCACTCCTTGGTTAAATTGGGTCATAAGTCAAGTTTTGTACTCTCTAGTTATTCTGAAACACCAGATCATAAAGAACATGTGCTGAACTTCATATTTTTGGAAAATTATGTGCTACGCATAAGTGCATGCAAAAAATGAAGCATTTTTGTTTTTCTCGCGGAAATGGAGAGAAGTTTCCGAAATTTTTTGATGTGATTGCCGAATAAAATAGTTTCTTATTAGATTTGTACTTGAAACGGATAGATGCAGTATTTTAGGAGCTCTATGTAAGATGTGCTACCTCCGGAATTGAAACCTATATATTTTCAGGTAGCAGTAATGGTGCAAGTATCTTCGGATTTGAATGCACTAGCGAACCTAGAAGACGCTTTCTTGGCGACAAACAGTTCAGGTAAGTGCTTGGAGATTTGTCCGTTGGTTTTCCTTCAACTACTAACTTATCATTATTCACAAAGTTCATGGACTTCGCAAAAAACGCAGTCTAAATTTTGCAGATCGTGAAGTGCTTGTCAACAGCTATACTCCAGCAGTATTACTACCACGTGATACTGCAACTTATTTCCATTATGAGGGTAAGTAGTCTGTTGACCATCACCTCAAAACACAATGCTAAACTTAAAGTCCTGAACTATTAAGGATCCTTAACTACTCCTCCATGTACCGAAGGAGTGAACTGGATAGTCATGGCTGAGCCTAAATACGTTCAGCCTGATGAGGTAAGCGCCCTGTCTCTTAGTTAGAGATCTGGAAGGTGTACTGGATAGTTTTAGCTAAAATTCTTGCGCCAGCATCTAACAACGGAAGGAAAGGTTTTGAGTTTCAACTGGAGACCAACACAACCAGTCAATGACAGAACTGTGTATCTCAATAGGTAAGGCAAGAGTATATAGCATAAAAAAGCGAAATTATTTTCGAAGCAATCAAGAAAACCCTAGAGTTGTATGTCAAAAACAGCGTCAGGAGAAGATCATCATATATAACGTATCGAACGTTTGATCGTTGATAACTCTCTTCCCACTGA